TCTACATATTCGACGACCAAGACTTCTTGTTGCAAAGCTCCCAAAATCAATCAACTAATCACCAATTTGGATCACTGTGCTCACCCCAAAAAAGTGCATAAACACCCACAAACCACCACTGTAATCAATCAAACAAACCAAATCTTACACCCAATCACAACCCCACAATCAACACCCCAATTCACATGGCCACTGTTTGTTGGTCGCTGTTTTGCATCGCTTGCGGGTTCGGTGCTGGGATTGTGTTCTTCTCCGGCCGTGGGTTGAAAGGTATGAGGGTGGATAGTTGTTTGCTACAATAGTGTGAATTTCCAGTTCTGGATTGTTGATTACATGGTCCGATTTTATGAATTGGGGTGTTGATTGTGGGGTTGTAAGATTTGTCAAATTTTTTTTTTTTTTTCAGGCAATGCTGGGAAAAAGATCATAAGGGTATGTTTGGGAAGAGGATCAACAGTATAAGGGTGTGTTTGGGGTTTATTAAAGGGGTATGGATTTAATTGTTAAAATAAGGGGCATTAGTGTCTTTTCATGGTCGTGAGGGCATTATGGTCATTAAAGATATAGTAAGTGTCATGTGACCATCATGTGATCACTTTAACGGCAAGATCCAACCGGAACAGTGACGAATGGGGTGATCTGCAACTTTTTTGCATAGTTCAAGGGGGTTTTTTGCATTTTTAGAAGTTCAGGGGGTTAGTTGTAGGTTTCCTCATAGTTTAAGGGGTTTTTTTTTTTTTTTTTTTTTTTTTTTGCATTTTACCCTTTAAATTAAACTAATTTATGGATAACCACTAGTATTTAAATAAAACCAACTAAAATACAACTACTAGCACTTGATCCCTATTCATTAGTTAATTCAAAGGCTTCTCTCATCTTTATCACTCTTACATGAAATTCCAACTCTAATCCACGTAAAAAATACCATCCATTTGTAGTTCAAACACTGCCATGTCACTACCCATGCAATTTTACCAAAAAAGGTGTCAACAATGCCCCCCGATTTTAAATGTCTTATCGGTTGTTGGCTGCCTAAGCCGATAAGATATTTGAAGTTTAAAGTACATTGGAAGGAAATTTTGAACAAGGACTGCGCTACTCACTTGGAATAAGATTACAAGCACCAAAGTTTTGTTTCTTCTGAATGACCCCTAAGATGATCTTTATTTCATATTAGCCAAATTTGCCGATTTAGGCTTCTTTCTAGATTCTCAGAAAGTTTACCGATATCACCTGCTTATAAACCTAGGAATGACTTGCCCCCCATGCATTTTCTAACTCCATCAGCAAATCATGATTATGATCGGCAGGAATTAAATTATTGTGAAGCGTCATTCTAGCCAATCTGCCTATTATCTCTATGACATTGTGCCAGGAAGGAGTTTTCTTAGCTGATTTTCTTTCAGCCGATTTTGTCTCAGCCGATTATTTTTCAGTTGATTTTGCATTCAGCTTTATCAGCAGGACTGCATCATGTCCAAAATTCCATTGATTGGCAAATATGACCTCACTATAATCGGCTGGCTGAAGTGGAGCTTATGGATCAACTAATTTTTGTTTGGGGTTAGCGATCACATGCCCCCAAGCAGTTGCGGGTATTTCAGCCGATTTTGCCTCAGCCGATTTTCTCAACCGAGCTCTAAGTAACCTTTTAAATTTAACATCGGCTAGTTTTTTTTTTTTTTTTTTCTTGAAATTGAGCTGAGGGAGCTAAAACAATTCTTTCAGCTAATGATTGTTTTTACCGATTATTAGATATCACAATCGGCAAAGAATTCTAGTACATAGGCTGCTTTGCTTTCAGCCGATTTGTACCCTTCCATTCATATATGGCAGCAACCATGTTGAATGGGAGCAAGTTGGGTTTGCTTTATCTTTCCGTCTTGATTCACAGGAGCAACCGGCTGATTTACCACCTACTGATACTCGACTGTTGGAACTTGCCGAAAATCGCCAGTCAGTGACCGATAATATTCTATCAAACTTTGCTACCGATTTTTTGGTAAAATTTATTGCTGAGATCGGCAAGGCTGGCCAATTTCAGTACTGGTTATCGACAGCCCCTCATATAACGGAGGTTGTGATACAGGGGTGATATACTTATTTACCACCTGGTCAGGATAGGGTTTCATGTACACGAGTTAAGGACATCTACGCCCTTGAGCTACCTCGGCCTGGATCAGGGCTAAAATCAGTGCCCTATTATCAGGCTGAAGCAGAGTATACGGATCAACCCATTCCAGTTGTGGGTTTGCAATCATATGTCCCCCGGCAGCCGTCGGTGGTACCTGTGGATTGTTTCTTCCTCGGTTCTGATTGCCCCCCATATCTTGCTGTTCTCTCTGAGGGGGAATCGACTTAATTGGTGGGCATTGTAGAATAACTTTTGTCGATTTTACATTCGGCTCAATTGGCATAAATGGTATTTTTGTTATTATCGGCGAATTGCCGATGGGCATACCAAGAGTTGTGTTCGATGGGACAATTCCTGTCGTAGTTGTTTGTGGCCCTTGAGAAATATTTGTCAACGGTAAAGAAATACGTTGAAAAATTGATTCATGAGATGCTGAGTTTTCAGCTTAATGACGACTTTGGGTAGCCGATATCTGAGCCTTCAATTCTTTAATCATCTGATTAATCTCCTGATTAATCTCCCGCAATTGGGCAAATACCTTCTGATTAAATTCTCCCATTTGGGGATTTATTTAGGATCTTATTTCTCCCATTTATTGATTTACCACATGTCGATAATCGGCTGTTGGTGACTAGTTTGCTACTTGTTGATAATCAGTTGCTGGTCGCTGATAACTTTCAGGCCAACCATATGACTTATTAGCCATCGGCTGCCCCCTGTGTATCACATGCCGATAATCAACTGCTGGCGTCTGCAGATAATCGACTGTTGGTGTCTGCCGATAATCAACTATTGGCGTCTACCGATAATCAGCGACTGATTACTAATAATTGTCTAGCCAACCATATGGCTGATTAGAATACTGATACATCAGCTGATATGACTAATCAGAACATTCGTACGTCGGTTGAGAAACCGACTGCATATTTTTACTATAAATCGTTCACTTAGTGGGGTCTTACTGGGCGTGCCAAGAATGTTGATGCTAAAATCGACTGGCTTAGCCGATTCTAAATTGATCTGTGTTGCGGGCGTGACAGAACCAACAATGTGGTTCGAGTGTAAATTGTTAACTGAAGTCTCTTTGAGAACGTTGACTTTCAGGCGATGCGAAGAGAAAGAGAACAATAAAACTCCTCTTATGAGTTCAGGATTGCCTTAATTAAAAGGACTTTAACAATGAATAATATAGTAACAATTTGATAACAGAAAGGGGAGAAAATATAGATATAGAAGGTGATATAGAGAAAAAGATAGAAAGAGGGATAGAGAGAAAAGTAGAACGAGATAGAGAGAGATAGAAATGGCAAGGATGTTATATGGGAGAAGGGCTTAAGAAAGCAATAACAATAATTAAAAAATTCTGAGGGTGCTGAACCTCTTTCTCAGCATACCTCTACAATTATTTATAGAAAAATGCATAAACCAATTCCTACACATAAATATTTCACTTACATTACAACTCTGTAACCCAACTAACTATAAATTTAAATTAAACTATTTTATAGATAACCACTAACATTTAACTAAAACCAACTAAAAGATAAATAGTAGCACTTGATTCTTATCTATTAATTAATTCAAAGACTTCTCTCATCTTTATCACTCTTACATGAAATTTCAACTCTAATTCACGTATAAAAAAAAAAAAAAAAAAAAAAAAAAATTACCATCAACCTGTAATTCAAACACGGCCACGTCACCCATGCAATTTTATCAAAAAGGATGTCAACACAGTCAGCGACCTATTTGCAAGATCGTTGGAGTAAGTCTGAAGTCCGTAACAGCTGTCCTAAGTTATAAATTTTAAGGTAAATTATTAGCAACTATATCTTGGCAAGGTGCTGATGGCATCGGTCTAGGACTATGGTCATCGCGTGGTTTTTCCTTGCTGAATTTTTTCACGTACAAAATTAGTGTGTTTTTTTTTCCTTTACTGTTCATTAGCCTTGAAAATATAATAAATATTCACAAAAATAGAGTAAAGGGACCTATTTATTCTCTCTTTCGTTCTTTTAAAAATCAGGCAATGTTAATTTTTTTTTTTTTTTCCCAAGGTAACGTTAAATTAACTAACCACACTTTCATCATTCGAAAAAACTAACCACACTTTTGCAGACACAACTAACAAAAACCAACCATTCTAACCAACAATTTTTATGTTTCTCCTATCAAGCCTCCAAAAAAAACACACACACAGACACACTACGAGAGTTTCCTGCCACTGGATTATTGTCTATGAAGTTTTTAACTTTTTTGTACATAAGAATCATTATAAATGATACTTAACCTAGATAGCTTGTTCATCTCTCTAATTCGACTTGTTTTATTTTTCTGTATTTATATTTATGATTGTGGATGTTTAATTGATCATATATCTTAAATAATTTAATCAATCACAAAAATTGGACAAGTTGATCACCTAATAATCTAATTTAAGTCATTAAAGAAGATTAATCACAATTAAATCAACTAATCGCTTCCGCACTGCGTAACTTCACAGAAAATTTCCTACCACTGGATTATTATTGTCTTTGAAGTTTTTAACTTTTATGTACATCAGAATCATTATAAATAATACGCAACCTAGATAGCTTGTTCATCACATTGATTAAAATAATATATTAGCATATATACTTGCCTACGATTCTTTGGACTAACCTTCTACAATCTACAGATAATTAGGAAATTACCAATTGGACCACCTCAACCCATCCAAGTTTGTCATCCAAAATTCTAAAAGCTCTCTTGTATGCGTGACTTTAAAATTTAAACCACATTGGAAGCAAGGTACTAAATGGCACTTATTTGGTTCACTAGTGGCCTTTATTCTACTTTCCATTAGCTATATAAGTCTGATGAGGATGCAATGCAAATGTAAACCAACAAACACAATTAATACTGTATCTACATACCCATTCTTCTCTGATTCACAACCTCACCTTTGGCTTCATGGCTCCTGCTAAGCCAGCTACTGCATCTGCAGCTAAGATGCAACAACAAAAAGATCGCCACTCAACATTATCACTGGAGGACGAAGTGTTGATGGGCCATGTTCAAGCCACACACGCTCCTGAAGATGAACTCATTCACGAGTTTGAGGTCAAACCTATTCTCCAAATCATCGAGGATATCATGCGCCGTTCAACCCCTACCATCAACAGCATTGTTCAAGTATTCGATCAACCTAGCTCCTCCTTTGTTTATTTTCAGAAAGTTAGCTCCACCTTTGTTATACCGTACTTGCATAGTATAGTTTTGCATTTTCTAGCTCTACTTCTACTCATTGAATTAACCATTTTAATTAATTTTAATTTGTAGGGAACTCAAGCTCAAAAATTGGATGCATCTGATGACAAGGCCCTTCGTAGTGTCAACACTGACATGCCTGACTTTTTGGCACTCACAATAAGCAAAATTTCCTGCGAGGTATTACTAGCTAGCTAGCTGTTAAAGACCTAACTTATCAGTTCAAATATCATTTTTCTTAATTAATATACTCGATCATTTGATGATGACCTGTGAATTCTTTAGAAATATTTATATGTTATTTAAAAACATGCACTGTTTTTCAAGAACTGAAAAAAAAAAAAAAAAAATGTGTTTTGACAGATATCATGCCATTGTTCTGGAGAAAGAGATACGCGCAACAACTCTATGGCACTTCTCAAGACACTTTCAACCTACACATGGGTTGGCAAAGTGGTGGTAGTCTTGGCAGCTTTCGCAGTGAACTATGGGGAATGTTGTCTTCTTGCTCAGCTTCACTCCACCAATCCACTCGCCAAGTCGGTCGGATTCCTTAGGCAACTCCCGGACATAAAACAGGAGGGCTTCCAGACTCTGAAACCCAAGTTGGAGGCACTGAACGACTTCATCAAAGCCTTGTTCGATCTGATCAAGAGCATTATCGAATTTTATGAGCTCCCGTCTCAGTACTTTACTCCCACTGTACCCGTTTACCAAAATGCCAATGCTCAAATACCCACCAAAGTTTACTACATTATTGAGAGTATTGTGGATTGTGCACCACGAATTTTGAACTTTATGAGCTTGGGTCCTGAGTAAGTTTTAATTTCTTTCATATTATATCAACTTCAAATTCTTATTCATGCAATATTATTGATTTGATTACAGTAAAGAATTTTTATTATCGTTATTTTTTATCATGTCTAATATGCCCCTTAATCAAATTCCTGACTCCGCCACTGCAGTTACCAATCACCCAATGATGCTTGGCAGCTCTCTATCTGCACTCTTAGGATTAAAAACCTACACATGCAACTGACGGACCAACTGTTTTTATGTCGTCAACACATTGGTGAGTTGTCTAAATATTTTAAATTAATTATATATATGGACCATGTAAAATGCTACTAGTTCCAAGCACTACAACAAAAATGACTATTGACACCACATTTTTTTTTTAGTGACGTATTTCGAAATTATTTTGGCGGGTATTGAATCTTAGAAAAGACAATCATGGAATTTATATGAATATAATAAAGTCAATATAATTTTAAAGGGTGGATCATATTCATGATATATGAATAAAAACTGGTATGAATGATTGATGCAGGTAAGAAGATAGAAATTGACGAATATCAAGCCCTTGTGCGCCTCTTCCAGTCGACACCCCACTTTGATAACACAGTGATTATGAAAAGACTTTTTGTTTACAAGGAGGATAAGCCTGCACTCTATGATGCCAAGAAAATGGTTTGTTCCATCATAAGCCACTTCAAAATTTATTTATTTTATGTTCTTTAATTCTCATTTGCAATGTCGGTCATGATGACTGAGGGTACGACCTCAAATAGAGCAAAATAGAAACATATGATTCATATTGCTGATTCCAAGTAATTGTAAAGCGACGTTGTTATTGTTTTTGTTGTTGTAATGCTTGTCATGAACTGATATTCTTTCTATATATATGTGACTAGGCATATGAACATGGAATTGATGTATTGAGAAGGAAGACTGTGTTGCTATTCATTTCAGACTTTGAGGTCTCCCATGAAGGAGGACTTTCCATTCTCATGCACAGGTATGCCGAGTCACGGCAGAAACCAGAAAGGGCTGACAGCCACTACGAGGTGGTGTGGTTCCCGGTGTCGGTGGACAAATCAACCCCTTGGAATGAAGTGAAGAAAAAGATTTTTGAGGACACACGAATCAATCCTTATATGCCAATGCCATGGTACACGGTGGCTGACCCTAGCTTGGTGGATGGGGCAGTCATCAGGTACATCAATGAAGAATGGAAATTCAACAAGAAGCCAGTGCTTGTGGTGATAGACCCTCATGGGACACCTGTGAACTACAATGCATTCCACATGATGTCGATTTGGGGAAATTCGGCTTTCCCATTCACCAAGTCCAGAGAGACAGATCTCTGGAACCAGGAATTGACCTTGAAGGTTGAGTTCGTAGTAGAAGATTCCATAGAGCCAATGATCCTTAGATGGGTACGTATGACATTTTAATTTCCTAAATGCCTTATACTATATATATATATGTACATTAACACATGCATGCACAATTTTGGCTGTAAGCAAATTTTCAAGCTGTTTTCTGTCTTATGTTTGCTCCACTACGAAAATTTTTGGTTTTCTGCTAAAAAATATTTATGAATAATGTCTTACGTTTTCAATTAGTAAAAGAATTTTCAAACTGTTTTCTGTCTTACTTTGCTGCTCTACAGCAAAAAAGTTTAAGATGATCAATGCTGGTATGATCATCGATCCCTGGTGGGATATATGAACTATTAAAACCTAAATTACTGTTTTCTGCTAAAAACTATGGTAGAGCATTTTAGGAGTGTCTTACGTTTTCAAACCGTAAATGAAATTTCAAACTGTTTTCTGTCTTATGTTTGCTGCTCTACCATAAAAAAGTTTTAAGATGATAATATTGATATGGTCCTCCCCTTTTGGGATGTAGGCACAACTAAACCTAAATTGGGGTTATTTGCTAAAATTTACAGGAGAGCATGCTCAATTTATGAATGTCTACATATATATGTCATAGTTAGATCAAGAATTAGTAATTGATTTCTGTTCAATTAAATAATTGATTTCAGATGAGTGAAGAAAAGTTGGTTTGCTTGTATGGAGGAGATAACCTAGAATGGATTCGGAATTTTACCACTCTTCTAAAATCGGTTGCAAAAGCCGCCAACATCCCATTAGAGATGCTTTACGTGGGGAAAAGCAAGCCGACCAATAAAGTTGGGAAGATCAATGACACCATTATTCAAGAAAAAATTAGTAGTGCACTGCCAGACATAGCCGCCATCTGGTGGTTTTGGTCACGGATAGAGAGCATGTGGCACTCAAAGGTCAAAATTGAGGAAGACAAGAAGGCTGCAGACTCCGATCCGATAATGAAAGACATCCTGTCACTGCTCAGCTTCGATTGCAGTAGCGAAGGATGGGCTTTGATTAGTAAAGGATCTTCCGCGGATAGGGAAGTGGCAAAAGCAAAGGGTGACATTATGACCAAAACTTTCGTCGAATATAAGGAATGGCAGGAACGTGCGGAAAAGACTACTTTTATATTTGCACTCAATGAGTACCTCATAAAACTCCATTCCCGGGATGATCATCACTGCAACTATCTCACATTGCCTGAGACCGGCGAGGGAATCATCCCTGACAAGGTGGCCTGCATTGACTGTAACCGTCCCATGGAGAAGTACATCACATATCGCTGTTGCACCGATTAAGCTATATATATATCATTATCATGGTATTTGCTACCGTGCATGTAATAATGTCCCTTGCTCTCTAGTGTTGTGCGCTTTTTTTTTTTTTCAAATAATTCCCACAATGCTCTAAGGCGTTGGTGGTGATGTGTGTTGTGTTGATGCAGTATTATTAATAAATGTTTACTATGTTTTATGTAATGAATGTGTTTTTTTTAATTATTGAAAAAATATATCTTTGTTTTTCTATTCCAAGCTCAATTTTTATGGATTTGGCAAGAAGGTTAATGATTAAGAAGTTAACAATTTGACGAAACCAATTGTCCAAAAAAAAAAGGGTTAACCAATCAATGGCGACTTCTGTTATTGCTAAGAACATTAAACACTCATTTTATTCATATTTTCAATAATTTACACTGTACATGTATACAAATTAACGAAACAAGACTATATAACTACAAACATTTTTGGAATATATACACTTGCAACATGAATAAAACATTAAAAAAAAAAAAAAAAAACACACTATAATGTAATTACAAATAAAATGAGAGTGGAATAGGTAGTTGATTTGGTAGTTAACACAATAATAAAAAATGATAATATGATAGAATATTAAAAGCAATAATGCTAAATTAAATTGGAAAGAACTATTGACTTGTCATCTGTCTGATTCGCCTGAGTATAGGTGCTTGGTTAGAGAATGGGGCATTCCGGTCTCTGTTCTTCGTTTCTCCAGCTCGAAGCATCCATGGCAGACCTGAGTAACAGTCCTGAAGATGCAAGAAAAATACTCTCAATTTAGAAAGAATAATTTTACTCTTCAAGAAAATTTTCAACCCCTTTTCCCTCTTTTTACAGACTATTTATAGGCTGTTACAAACATTCTAGAAGTTTTCTAACTAACATCTCCCGCTGGGCTGAACTTCTAGGCTCATTTTGGTTATGGGCCCATCCCCTTTCATCTTGGACCGGGCTCTCTCCCTGATCTTCCAATCCTAGGCCGGATGAATGAGAACTTTGACTTGGTTGGTTGCTCTTACCCGACCCGTTTATGACAAGTTGGGTTTTGTTCGGCCCAGGCCATTTTTGATATCCTCATCTGCCCCCATAATCTCTCCCTAATTAATTAGGGTGAGATTATCGAAATGACACAATTATGATGTGACGGCTTGGAACGGTGACGTGGGAAGCAAACGGTTGGCCTAGAGACCCATGTCTCGAGACTTGTAACGCCATTGTAGGTGCAAAATTTTTCTCTATTAAAGGAAATAAAAAGAATAATACAACTCACTCAAGACAAGCAATTATAATACTTAGAGAAAAGCGTATATTGCTCAATGGATTTTATTGGAGGTCTAGGCTTCTATTTATATGCAAAAAGGTGGTGGAATTATGGTAGGATTCGTCTTGCTTGTTCTCCAATTAATTCCATATACAATTCCTTACTAATTAAATTACTACCTTTTACAGCTATCTCTATATCAGATTTCTTCCTCTTATGGAACTTTCCTTTCGTAATGGATCCTTTGCTTAGTAGGAGTTATTCCTTTTTGAAACAAACTTGGGCCGAACGCGACTTGATCCAAATGACTTTGTTAATGGCTAGAGGTCCAACACTAGCGACTTGGGTTGTTGGTGTCTTTGTTCGGGCTTGAATAGGGCTGGGCTTTTTTAACCCATTAAAGGATTAAACATAAGACTTACGTTGTGGCTATGTGGTTGGCTTTCATTGGAGGGGGATTTTTCCCTCCACACTTTGCCCCCAATTCCTTTTTTAATTGGACTACGGCTCCTAATCAGAAAGGAATTGAAGTTGTACGGGTGTCAATTCTGTAAGAGGCAGTTTCGAGGAGCGATTATTGACATTCTGACCAAAAGGATTCTTCATAACTTGTTTTTGGCTTTGCGACGTTCATTGTGCTTATTGTTTCAATGTGATTCCAGGTTAGTCCCTTATTCATTTGTTTGATTTCTTTCGCATCATGAACTCTTCATCCATTCACGACCATATAGACATCGTAGATTTTGATTCCACACCCTCTTCTTTCCCCAATCTCATTAGGATTCCTCCCCCTAGGGTTTCTGACCCCGTTAAATCTGCGAACGATTCAGCCACTTAAATGGATGTCTCTCTTCCACAAGCGAAGTATCTTCTTCTGGGTCAGATAGTGTGTTCACTAAAGAGGATAGAAGGCTGATTTGGTCCATTCGGTGTATCAAGTTCACCATTGAGTCTGTAATAGAGGAATTTGAGATCCCTGAAGGGGTAGACATTGTTGAATACCCAGAGGGGGCTGATTTCAGTTCCGGCAAAGGCGTCGGAGATAATAAATTGCTTTTATTAGTCGGGTATCTTAATGTTCTTCGATTCCCTCTTCACGCCTTCTATTACCTGGTATTCAATAAGTTAAGACTTGCTCCTCTTCAAGTAAACCCTAACTTTCTTCGAATAGTTTCGGCACTTCTAGTTTGCCGAAGGTTAGAGAGTTTTGACTTGACTCTTGCTGACCTTCTAATTACCTACACCATCGCCAGGCATGGGACCGAGCTTGGCCGCTTTTATTTTACTTCCCTTCTTCAACAGAGGATATGTACAGACCTTCCTTCTTTCGAGAAGAAGTGGAAAGAGAGGATGATACTTGTAAAGGGGAACTGGTCCGTGAATCAATTGAATAACCTCCCCATCCCTCGCAAATTTGGGAAGCTAGGTATAGAATATCTTCCCTGCCTTCATGAAAAGTGCTTTAGTTGTTTCTTATGTCAAGTTTTACTATTTCGCCATACTTACGAATTTCTTGGTATTCTTTCAGCAACATTCCCCTTCACCACAGCCAAGAAGAGATTTGTTTTTCTCGAGGCACAAGTTTAGAATGACCCTCCTTCGGTTGAGGATTTACTTTCTTCCTCTAACCTTAAAGAAATTGCTTCCAGTGTTGCTGACCTTATGGACCTATCACTCCCCTCCTTTGACAGCTTCCTTTTGACTGATGAAGAGAAACAGAGAGCTAAAGCTTTAAAAAGGAAGACTGCAGAGAGCTAGCCTCTGGCGGTCATAAGATTCACTGAGCAGGAAAGAGAGGTTGATGAAGTTCCTTTGCACAAAAAGGCAAAGTTAAACCCTCCTGTAGCAACCAAAACCAAGGGTGTCATCCCTTCAAAGAGCAAGGGTAAGAAGGCTAGTGAAGTTGACCCTCAGGAGGAGGTGAGGGCTTTTATCTTCGCCGAGAAAGGTGAGCCTTGGAGGCCTACCTTTTCTAGGGTGGATAAATCAATCCTTCACTCCAGGGACTCGATTCTTACCGATCCTTCTATAGGTTTGGCCGTCGCACGAGGAGTATGGCTGCCTAAAGATGAAGAGATTATGGGTAATATGAAGTTGGACCAGCTTCTTCCTTCTGCTCCAGTTCGGGCTGTGGAGGTTCACTCTCTTCCCTTCTTTGTTACTCTTTCAACTTTTTTTCCACTCCACTAATATTGTTGTCATTGATTGTGTAGGGCCTCTACCACACTATGGCCCTATGTGCCACTGCTGAGGCTCAGTCCCTTTTTGTGATACTCCTCGTTTCTAGAGCCAAGGGTGATCAAGTCCGAGTACAGATCCGAGGGATACCAAACAATCAATATGTAAACAAGCAGGAAAAGCTGAAATAAGATTTAAATAATAATAAACAGAAAGATTACTAAAATGAAAATCCTCAAACCTTAAATAATAATTTAATATAATTTAAATCCGTACAACTCGGGAATTCACCTAGTGGACCCCTAAATTCAAATATTTATATAAATTTACAAAATTAAAATCCAAAACCATAATAGAAAGGAAATCCTATGTAACCGGAAGAGTGAGTGTCTGTATCTGCATCAACACGATCAAACTCTAAGCTGGTACTGGCGAATACCTGAAAAATAAAGGTGGGTCAGGCCCACATACAAGTTCCATCCTACTACAATCCGTACATAAACCCGATACGCAGATACATCCTAGATAGCTCGGCAATGTCTAAAATAGTCCATATATATATACACACTATAGGATGCTCACTAGCCTATAACATAGTCCAGCCTGGGTAGAGGTGACATATAAAACACGTTTTTCAGCGGCCAAGTACCTAGACCTACCAGGGAACATTAGCTATATCCAGCTACTAAACCTTTGCAATATACGCACCCGATCAAGCTCTAAGCTGGTACTGGCGAATACCTGAAAAATAAAGGTGGGTCAGGCCCACATACAAGTTCCATCCTACTACAATCCGTACATAAACCCGATACGCAGATACATCCTAGATAGCTCGGCAATGTCTAAAATAGTCCATATATATATACACACTATAGGATGCTCACTAGCCTATAACATAGTCCAGCCTGGGTAGAGGTGACATATAAAACACGCTTTTCAGCGGCCAAGTACCTAGACCTACCAGGGAACATTAGCTATATCCAGCTACTAAACCTTTGCAATATACGCACCCTAATCATGATCAGGAGATTCAAGCTTGTATCACGGTACCATAAATATATATATAAATTCCTTCCTAATGCAGAAAGATAAAACAAACATTCGTTATGTCGTTCAACTGTTTTAGTTGACAGGACATGCATCCATGTAGGATTTAACTGTTTTAGTTAATCCATTCCGTATGTATGAAGGGGTAGGACTTAGCTTTTTGATCTAATCCATCCCTGATACGTCACCGTCCTATACCGGTACATATAATGCAAATGATCCACCGGTGATGCACATTCATTAGAACATCAAGTATATCCATGAACCAGCATAATAGAAAACAGGTATTATTAAGATCCTATTATGCATCCCGTATATGATTATAATCATAAAACTCCTGTTAAATTGTTATAGTACTGTTAAACAATTTAAGTTATCCACATCCATCCAATTGACAAAACAGAAACTAAATCAGTTCATCAATTAACAACCATAGCAGGGTATAATGATTATCAGACTTATGAATTGAGCACAAAATACCATTCAACCCAAACCATACCCTTATACTAGTTCATAAAAATCATTAAAACAAAGACTAGTAATACAAACCTCCTTAACCCCCTGACGGCATAAAAATTTATGTTTGCATCATATGACGTCCTTTTAATCCTCCAACTTAAAACCTGTGGTTGATATTGTATAACACAGAGAAGTCAAACTGTACCTCATATAAGTCCCCAATGGTACAATA